CCAAAAACCGGTATTATTTATTAACGAATGGCGATATCTCTTATACTACGATTTATATTGGTATTATTTTCCTATGTGTCACTTATCATTCAATCCACCTGCATTTCTCTGTAATTACGTAAAACTGTAATATATCCTGTTGAGTGTGCTGGATTTTCCCCTCAGCAGCCAGATGACAAGAATCTGACCAAACGCGTCAGGACAGTGCTATCGCTTCTCAATGCGGAAACTAAGTGTTTAAATATCTCTAACATGATTTCACTCGACCTACTTTGAAGAAAACCAGCCGTCACGGTTCCGTCTCGCGCGGCTTCTGGAATGATCGTGTCTGCTGCTTCTTTCAGATCGCGGACCTTCAGGCGCTGCACTGCTGCTCACGCCAGGTACTGGCAAGTATCACGACTTAACTTAAAACGGGCTTTTGACTTGTTTGTGAGTCTCAAAACGCGGGTTAATAAGTAAAACAGAACTAACCGTCTAGTATAGGCATTTCATGCTAGGTATGGGTGCACACATTAGTCACGTGAGCCTTGTTCAGTGAGAAATCTGATAAGTGCACACTGCAAATTTTACAGCTTAGTGTTGTTCGCTTCCTCTTTCTCTGATCTCGATAGTGAGCTGCTAACTTATTGATCATTTAGTCTTACACAACTTTAATGTGATGGAAATATAAGGATCATTTAGCCTTTAAACTTTTATGGGGAAGCATATAAAGCACACAAGGTCATATCTGTGTGCATGTGAATGTCAGTGACAGCCTGGCTTGTTTACTCCATTGGAAATGCTCAAGTGAACACCTTTTGTGTTTATGCTTGATGCTTTGCATATTGCAAATAAGCTTTTTTTCCCCAGCAGGCTTGGTTCCGGAAGTATTTCCCCCAATCATTTTCATAGAGGCATATTTAAAAAGTCTTTATACCAAGAACCAACACTATATGACTCGCAACATAAACTTTGATTTGAAGGAACAAGTATTTGAAAATCAGACAAATTATTTACAAAGCACAATTATTAAAAAAATAATTTTAAATCATGTGAACTGATGCGTAAAGCATATACAATCAATTAACAACTGTGTATACAGGTTTACAGTTTATCATTCAAAATCAGCTCCCCTATGGAGAAAACGAATGGGATTTTTATTTGTGCAATCCGACTATTGCACTCTATATGCCTCTAGAAGCAAAGGAGCATTGCTGCTGTGTTTTAAATGTAAATGTCTCTCTCTTTCTCACAGATAACCAGTAGCGCTCTGGCATCTGGCCAGGTGGAGAGCCGTGGTCCGATCTCTCATGCCCCCAACAGCCCCGCAGGTACAGATGCTTGTGACGAAACATTTAAAAATACACCCTTCAAATCATCCAGTCATTTCAAAAAACTAAATTCTGACAGAATACCTAAGAATCTGTGATGTAACATCTGGTGGATTTGTGTTTTTTATTTCTTTTTTTTTATTTTGGGGTTAGGAATGGAGAGCAGTCAACCAATCACCATCACAGACCCGGTTACACGGCGGAAGAAGAAACGCAGAACTCGGGCCGCAGACAGTTTCACTGGCAAATTTAGTGGTACTAAACCATCTTGAACTTTACAAAAGCTCTTATTAATCCTCACAATGTGCGCCTTTTTGTTCTATGGTTTATCCTCAGCATGCAGTCTGTATAATCTGTGCATCATCAGATCTTTCAAAA